GTAATAGCTCGGCTTTCTATAGGTTCGAGCTTTCTCTAGGTTCAAGCCCCTATGAAGTGGGATATGAAGGAAATGGATAGCTCTTTGAAGGAAGAGATTGAGGTCGGGGGAGCCTGTTAAACCACGTCAAGGCTGAACCCTTCAAAGTGATGGCAAATGCTCGACAGCGTGTGGGGTCCTGATACCCGTGCAATTTCATCTGGTTCTTATAAGTATTGAGGTGGTCCATGGGGTCCCTGGTTCCATCAAAGGACTCTATTTGTGGCATCCTGAACTTTGATGGGAGGGAAAAATACAACACCCCAGACGTGAATGGAGATTCAGTCTGCTGCACCAAGATGTCCATTGTAACTGGAGCTTTACTTCTGACCACTTCCTTCATGTGGCTGAGCTCCTGTTGGATGCCCTTGAAGCATTGTTCCTTTCTCTCCTGTTGATAAAGGAAGACATCATTCTTTTCACCTTCATGGTTTTGACTTTGTACTTCCTCATTGTGGCCGTTCCTAAGGGGTAGTTGGGGAACCTGCCCCAAGGTCTGGCTGTTCTCCCCCCTTCGTTGTCTTCTTTGAGTGGATCAAGGTGTTGTTGATCCTTGTAGTGGGGACTGTTCTGACCTTCTTGGGCCGGACGTGCCTCCTATGGGCGCTGTAAGAGCTTCGAGAGCTCCTCGTTTTGCTTTATCAAGCGCTGATTGACGAGGCGAAGGGCCTCCATCTCGTTATTTGTGGGGGAATTTCCCATGAGAGGATCAGTCTCTGGGACGTTCTCGGGCTATCTGCCATTGGTGGCTCCCTGTTGGTCCTGCATCCGAGATGAGTTTGTTTGGTTTTTGCTCATGTTTCGTGTTTACACCATCAATCATTGAAAGATCAACTTATTTGTAACAGGAATAGTTGTTCCCACAGACGGTGTCAAACTAATGGTGTAAATCAACGTGAATGAGGAAAAGGTGCAGATGACGTGTGATGAGTGTGGATCAGAGCTACAAGGCTCGTGTGTATTCAATGGAGGCTTTTGCTCCATCTCCTCTATCTCATACTCAAATGTATTACAATACGGTATATCTCGAAATTAGGATTTTTTCTCCATCTTTTCTATGGAGGCATTACATAATATTTATGAAGCTGTCCCCTATTCCGTGGGATTTCAGCCGAGATCTTTGCCCATTATTCATGAGATCTTCCTTGATTTTAAGAGAGAATCTTGGTTGGTTAAGAGTTTCATGCATATGGCCCAATTTTCGTAGTCATCTAGCTGTTTTCTGGTTGGTTCAGCTACAATCTCCACAAGGGGAGCTCCACCCTTGGTTCTCTGAGCTCCTCGTGTCTATCCTAAGCTCCTGATCCGAGCTCACAAATAGGGCTTGTTTGAGGTATTATCAATACTCGTCTTTTATATAAAATTTGGCTACATTTGTATGTATTCATAATAACATACAAAATATCTATATAATAAAACACATAAGAAGTTGAATTTTATCCCTATATATTTTTTCTCTAAAATCACCACATCACTTATTTCTATAACATGTTCAATTATTTAATATTTGATTAATTTGTGGTTTAACATAATTTTTATTTCAAATAATATTCATACACGATAGTATACATATGTTGAGAAAAATTTATCAATTTTTTAAAAAAAATAATAGGTAAAAATAAATTTTGAATGATGTAGTCAACGAAATGAAAGGAAAAAGAAATTACTTAATATAGTAAAATCAATTTTTTGAGACTCAAATTTTATGTTTGTTATGACTTTCTTTTTTTGGAGGGGAAGGGGGCTTGAACCATTGACCTCAAGAAAATAGTTTCTTCACAAGAAAAGGAGTATCATTGGACCAAAGACCCATTGATATGACTAGCAAAGGCGGAGCTACTTGAGGACCGGGGGGGGGAGGCTATCAATTAGTATAGTCCCCGTACCTAAATGATTATGAATTTTTTAACATACTTTGGACACTTTAGGGATACATCTATATAAGTTTTTGACATGTCGAACTCATTTTTTTTAAGTTATAGAGATTCTAATTTAAAAAAAAAAAACTATAGAAATTATGGCAATTAGGTTACTTAATTAAATGAGTGATCAATGACTAATAATTTGATCATATATATGGAGAAATACTATAGTATCATTTATGCAGTTTGCTTCATTTGTTATGAAGGGGTATAATTAACCTTTTTTTTTTGTTTATTTTTAAGTATCGAATACAATATATTAAATTTGAATATATTATTTTATTTGTATTGATTAGAAGAAAAAAATTTAAATTTATTTAGCAAAGTACTCACTTTAGACATAATTCTTGGCTCTGCCTCAAATGACTAGTATACAACACAATACATAAAAATAGCATACATCTCTCTCAAAGATTGGCGTCTCTAGAGCCAGTCGGAATTCCAAATTACTAGTTCTAACTTGATTTAATAAAATTTTAGTTTAATATTTTTAAAATCGATCACATGTGCCGACATTGCAACAGTGCTGAATAATTATATGGAGGAGAATCACTATTTATGGTGGTTATCCAGAGCCCTGTAAGTCAGCGTTGGGTTGAGAACATCATACAATGACTTAGATATCACGGACCACAAGTAGGGTGGTCTAGTGGGACATCGGGTTTATCTTTACCTTGAGGTTGAGAGTTTGAATTTTAGAGTCTTCATTGAAGTTTGGTGGTTAGTTGCTATGTTAGTCTAGTTAGGCCTAGTCTCGAGAGGTATTCTAGGCGCGATCAATGATCTTATAATTTCATCAATGAGGATTTATCAGAGTGATCGTTAGATGTTCTTCCTTGCCGTTCACCCCTTCTTCCTAATCAGCCAAACAAAAAAAAAAAACAAGATATCGGGGTGGTGGGGAAGTGGGCCCGTCTCGTGCTCTTAATTTAATGTTTAGATTTTAGAAAACATTGATCTTGGCCGACATCTGTTATGTTATAGGTCGTCATGACTCAGGTTTTTCACAGAAGAACATCTGTCATGATAACACACAGACTTCAATACATCTTTAATGTGTAGAAACTTCTCCTACGTATTCTCTACCAAGGACTTGACCAGAAGAGTACCCTATTTTTAACTTTTACTATTTTAATAAATATTTTTATAAATTTTATTAGTTATTTTATAATAAAAAAAAATTATCACTTTTTACAGGTGGTTTATTACTATTGGGACTATTTTTATTACTGTTGTGAATATTTTTATCATTTTTTCGGTATAAAAAAAATTATTACTTTTATAAGTGATTTATCACATTTATAGACATTTTTATTGTATTTATATATTTTTTACTATTGTTATGATAACTATTTTTATTATTTTTTGGGTATCACAACAGTGAAAAAAAAATCATAAATGTGATAAAAATAATTATAAATGCGATAAATAAAGGTATGATATTGAGAAAAAAAAAAAATCTCGGTACCATAGTCAAATTCCTCTATGAGAGGTTTTCATTTTTCAGATGATTGGGAATTTTTTTATTTTTTATACTTTATTATACTTTACAATTTTTATGACCAACAACTAAATACAAATCTATTGAGTGTCATTACAATTTTAGAAATACATGATTTGGGTAAAAAGCTCGGAGATCTATGGACTAACACTATAAATAGGATAGGGCAACATTATCGTTGCTGTATTGTGTAGAAGTTGATCTTCGATTATTAATTTTAGTTTAGATGATTTATAACAATTAATTAAAAAAGTAATAAATAAAATAAAAATGTCACATTTTTATTAGATGAAAAATGAGCGTATGGTACTGAAAAATTACTATAGTTGCACCTCTTCAAAATAATATGCTCGGATAGAATTTGTAACTTTTAACATATATTTGTAACTTTAAGGTGGGCTTTCGATCTCAATTAATTCCGTGATTATATAATTTATTAGCATTTAAAATAAAAACCAAGTTAGAATTACAAAATATAAAATCCAATTACTGCAAAAAACAGCATGACAACAATATGATCAAATGATATAATGTTTATTTTACGATAGAGCAAAATTTTTAGATTATAATTTAAAATAAATGAAGACTCAAAATTTTTTAAAAAGTCTAAAAAATTAAGCATAAAATCATAATTTTGTTTAGTAAATACCATCACGACAATTTTAATTTTATTATATTTTTTATATTAATGATAGCGTTACTCAATACGAAAATATGCTCCACGAAGATGTTACCAACTTTATTATTTATTTATTATCAGAATGTCACCAACTTCAAAGTTACTGAATTTGAGAAACTCGGTCAGAACAGTGGCAAATACATTTATTTTTCTTGGGAAAAAGCAAATATATTATATACATAATTCAAAATATAAACGAGGAATTGCACTCCATACCCTAAAAATTTTAAATATTTTTTCCTATATCTTTAAAGATTAAACTTTTTATATTATACTAGTAATATACCAAAAGTATCGTAATTAGGAGTATTAAAATATGACATGATTTATTAATATGACGCGAGATTAGAGAATTTAGGTCTTTTTTTAAATTATCCGTTTTCGTAAACTAGTGGACTTAACAAGATATATTTAACAAACAAATCAAGTATGAGTGAAATCAATTAAAAAAAATATACGACACAATTTATTTATATATCAGTTATAAATAATTTATACACGATACGAATTCGATATGATATGATTTATTAGACACGAATTAATAAACAATTCGAATATAGGTGAAATAATTTTTTATATGAACACACTAACACCAAATATGACCCCGCTCCTAGTTGTAATGTAACTCTGTTATTAGTTTCCATTATTTATTACGTCAAAAATCACTCCATTGTCATTGAGGGACGAGCAACGGAATATAAGATCATATTGCAACACTTTTAATATATTAAAAGTCAGTTGCAGGAAATCTAATTTTTAAAGAGGTAAAAAAACAATTCTTAAATGTTTTGAGGTATAAAGTATAATTCGCCCCGAATATAACAAACATACACTGCGTATGTATGATCTATTGCGCGAAACTTTTCGACTCTCCTCGTTTGCAATCAAACCTGCGTGTTCCTGCTTTTTTCACGACCTGAGAGGAAGGAATCGGAAAAACCATACATACCCATCATTCACCTTCGTCTCCGAAGGTACGTAGATTGCGTTTCACTGTTAGATTTATATCTCCTGTGAAAAAAAAAACGATTCTCTTCTCTTTCCGTGAAAACCCAACAGGATTTAGCTTTTTTTTTTATCTAGCCAGAATTTTCTTGTCAACTTTATTCGTTTTAAAGTTATATGGGTTCGTATTGTTTCCTGGAAAGAGTATTCTGGGGTTTTTTTTAGTGATTCGATGAATTGAGTATATAGTTCAGTTATGTTAATGGTGAGGACGATGTGCCTTGGTGCAGTGGCCCTGAGACCAGTAGGTTGATCTTGAGTCTGATCATACTTATATATACTATAAATCGGATCATGTTATTTGTAATTTTGATTTTTGTGAATGATTTTCAGTTTCTAATGTTCTTATTAGTGTATATACTGGTGGTTTTAGGTATAAAATTGGACTTTTTTTTGGAGGAATGCTGTTCATAGGTTTAAGATTAGAAAATGGGCGATTCTGAAGGAAGTATTTTGAATTTTAGTGTAATGGAGAAGATTGCAAGGGAAGGTTACTTGTCGGTTTTCAAAGACTATGGAGTGTATGGGATTGTGGGTGCCGTTGTTGTTGCCATATTGATACCTTTATTGATTTCAATGGTGTTTGTGGGGAAGAAAAAAATGAAACAGAGAGGAGTTCCAGTGCCAGTTCCTGGTGAGGCAGGTCTTGTAGTGCGAAATGCTAGATCAGTCAGATTAATTGAGGTTCCGTGGGAAGGGGCCACAACTATGGCATCGTTATTTGAGCAATCTTGTAAGAAGCATGCACGAGAACGGTTTCTTGGGACGAGGAAGCTAATTAGTAGGGACTTTGTAACTGCTAGTGATGGGAGGAAGTTTGAGAAGCTACATTTGGGGGAGTATCAATGGGAAACTTATGGAGAGGTATTTGATCGTGCTTGCAACTTTGCGTCTGGACTTGTCAAATTAGGCCATGATGTTGATACTCGTGCTGCCATATTTTCTGAAACTCGGGCAGAGTGGTCCATTGCCTTTCAGGTACTTTGCCTATTGTCCTCTGTTTTGATGCATTTTCCCATTCTATTGTGTTTTGATATGTTTGTGATGAGGTGACACCGGTTAAATTTTGTATTTTGATTTCAGGGATTGTTCCGCCAGAATATTACTGTTGTTACTATCTACGCCTCCCTAGGCGATGATGCCTTAATACACTCACTTAATGAGGTGGGGACACCAGTGCTTTTGCGGTTCTTTTAATCACTTATATTTTTTAATGGTAATAAATATCTCGAAATATGAACAGTACTCACTCATTTCCTTGAGTTTTTGACAGACCCAAGTATCAACCTTAATCTGCGATTCAAAGCAATTGAAGAAGTTGGCTCCAATAAGTTCTAGCCTAAGTACTATAAGGAACGTCATTTACTTTGAAGATGACGAGACTTCACGGGATTCTAATGTCTCTAGACATACAGACAATTGGTCGGTTTTTCCCTTTTCTGAAGTTGAGGTACTTGGGAAGAATAATCCTGTTCATCCAAGACTACCAATCAAGACGGATATTGCAGTTATAATGTACACAAGTGGCAGTACCGGCCTACCAAAGGTTTGATCAAGCTTAAAGTTCCTTTTCTTTCGTTGATGGCAGGGTAATAAGTTGGAAAATATGATAAGATAAAGTACACATAGAAATGTTCTTGGATGCACAAACAAGAGCTGGAGCAGGAGTAGTATAATGCTGATACGTAACTAGCATTCAAGTGACAATTTTTTGTCAATTAAAAAATAGAGTGACAATTGTGAGTTTTATATCATGTTGTTTGGTGAATGATTGTTGTTTTGTTATCCATATTACTTCTCCTCCACAAGTTCATTGCTTCAGTCACTAACATGGCAACGTGATGATAATCTAGGGAGTTATGATAACTCACGCCAACATTGTAGCCACTGCAGCTGCAGTTATGACCGTGATCCCAAGACTTGGGAAAAATGATGTCTACTTGGCATACTTGCCTTTAGCTCATGTTTTCGAGTTGGCAGCTGAGGTAACATCATCAAAGAATTCTTCTTGCATAAACTAGTGAGGGAGATTATTCTAATTAGACTATGTTGTCGTCCAGTCTGTCATGTTGACTGCAGGTGCTGCAATTGGTTATGGCTCCACTTTGACTTTAACAGACACATCTAATAAAATCAAGAAAGGAACGAAGGGAGACGCTTCTGAGTTAAGACCGACCCTGATGACAGCAGTTCCAGCAATTTTAGATCGTGTTCGAGATGGAGTTTTAAAGAAGGTTTGAAGTGGACTGATCACTGATGTCTTTTCTATTTGGTATAGCAGCCTTACTTTAATGCATTTTCTGGATGGAGATGATAAAAAATAACTGGCCTTCTTCCTGTTTATTTTGAATGCACTATAGGTTGAGGAGACAGGAGGTTTTCCTAAGACACTTTTCAATACTGTCTATAAGCGCCGCCTGGCAGCTATAGAAGGAAGCTGGCTCGGAGCTTGGGGACTAGAGAAATTACTATGGGATGTAATGGTTTTCAAAAAGATACGCTCTTTTCTTGGAGGTGAAATCCGATTCATGCTCTGCGGTGGTGCTCCTTTATCTGGGGATACACAGCGATTCATCAATATCTGCATGGGGTATTTGTCTTCCATCTAGGCATCAAGGAAATAATTATTGTGACTGTTTTTTCTTTTGTAATTAAATTCTACACCTTTAATGAGGCCCTCTATCTGAATATGGTGAGGATTGAGGTGAATAGACTAGCATTAGTGAACCAACTTTAGTAGTAGTTCCTGATCAGCTTGATGTCCATGTTTGCTTACCTTGAGAATATGTGGCCTTATACAGTACTGCTAATGATAATTCTGTTCAACTCAAACATGCTAATTACATGAAGGCAGTTATTATTGCACCCAAAGGAGAAGGGGGTGTGGGGGATGGGGAAACAGTAACTGAACGTTCATCATGCTATTTTGTTCACACTTTTTGCTGTGTGATTTTGCTATTTTGGAGGTGCCATGAATTAAGGTTCCAATATGATATGCCCTGTCTCAACTAGAGTGACTAGAGATTAAATACAACATTTCCTCGAGGTTTACAGTCGATGGAAAATGAAAACTGTTGTACTTCATCTTAATTTGACTCTTGGGACACAACCTTTTCAAAGGAATAAAAATATAAAAGCTTTAGTTTTTGTCAGGAAGGCTAGTAAGTTAAAACTGGAAGGAAAAGACAGACCCCCAAGAGGAGTACATAATGAAAGGACATTAAAAAAGAGTTTTGTAAAGGGGGATGTATTCTGCAAACTGTGGACAGCCTCCATGGTGTTTACACTTTACATGACCTGAGTGGCCGACAGATTTGTTGTCCTCAAGAGACTACATGCAAGGAAGCAACAAGAATGACAATACAGTTCTAATAACATGAGAAAGATATCCAGGAAGCACTGTTTATATCTTACCACTTCCCTTTAATAGCAGTATTTGACAAGTTGTTCTTCAGGGCTCCTATTGGTCAAGGATATGGCCTGACAGAAACATTCGCTGGTGCTGCTTTTACCGAGTGGGATGACATTTCAGTTGGGCGTGTTGGTCCACCTCTTCCTTGTTGTTACATCAAGGTATACCAAATTCGACTTGTCAAGGATTAATCAGAATTTTGCTCAAAAATATCTGGGGTCTTCTTACTCAAAGTGGATCAGCAGGGAGTTTATTATTAGGAAGTATGTCACATTTAGTATGGATCTTGTTGATTGTATTTTGAAAAAAGATTGATGCAATTTCAGATTAGCACGTCTATATCAATAGCCAATAAATGAGTAAAGACAATCAGAAATTGATCAACTCCAGGATAACTACAAATTTACAGGCTGTATCTGTGTTCATCTTTTTTTTCCTTGATAAAGCTCAATGAAGAAACAAGATTTTACATCTGACTCCAAGTAGTTGAGATGAAGGCTGAGTTAAGTTGAGTTTAGCATTTTTGTTCCTCTTTTTCTCCTTTTCTTTATGTGCTGTTTTTTTTTTTTGTTGGGGGGGGGGGGGAACCTCATCAGAAGTTGTGCTGTTTCAGAACAATCTGAGGAAAAGTTGCTGGGACATGTTCATAGACATTGAATCTGCATGTTCTGTTTTACATAGAACGTAAGACCCATAATAAGGTAGGGGGTACTGGAGTCGTGAGTATTACCATCAGAGATCCTTGTTGTCATCCTAAAAATGACCACCATAAGCTATTGTGATGAAAGAGACAAATGCAACTAATGTATTGCTGATTGCTGTTCAAAGTACAGATATGAAGCTCACCACTGAACAAAAAATAACAGGAATTTCTCTTGTTGATTTTATTGGATGTCATATTTTAACTGTTGATATGCATGCAGCATGCCTGAGACAGGGATATTCGCAAATTTATTGTATTGCAGTTTGGAGTACAAATTTTATGTCCGTTACTGAATGGAAGAATAAATAATAAGGATTATTTTCTTCATGAAATTAAATGGATATATCCAATTTAGAGGGGCCACGTGCTTGCCACATGGCCAAGACAGGCAGGTTCATAATCTTGCTTACTTGTTATGTTTCTATGAAAATACATTTTCCTGTTGTGCAAGTTTATCATCTGGAATGTTTTCATACCCGTCTGACCTCATGTTCAATGTAGAAACTCTCATCAATTCAGAAAAAAAGGGGGAAATATTAGGACTTGTGCTTCCAGCTTTTTTGAAATATTCAGCCTTTCATTATCCTTTTGAATCACTCAAAGGGTCTGGAGGTTTCTTTATAAAAGATGGACCCATTTGAAAATGGATATTTTTAATTTGATATTGCAGCTTGTTTCTTGGGAAGAAGGTGGTTACCTGACATCTGACCAACCAATGGCCCGAGGAGAGGTTGTAATTGGTGGCTGCAGCATAACTGCTGGTTATTTCAACAATGATGCAAAAACTAAGGAGGATTTCAAGGTAAGTACTTATGCTGTGTGGCTTGAATGTGACTGCTTGATGATGCAGCATCACCACTGTTTTTAATTACTCTGAACAGGTTGATGAGATGGGCATGCGCTGGTTCTATACTGGTGACATCGGAAGGTTTCACCCAGATGGATGTCTTGAAATTATTGATCGGAAGAAGGATATTGTCAAACTTCAACATGGAGAATACATCTCCCTCGGCAAGGTGTGTGTTCAAACCTTTCTTAGTACGCCTTGATTTGATGTGTCTGTCCAACAGAACCGGGCTGGGGGGTTTACCAACATCTGCATAGTCATTGTCGCCAACATAAGTTTCTTGAACTACAGGGTCAACCCTAAATGATATGAAAGATGTTCGATATCAATTAGTTTAGTTCTCAATAAGTCTTTCCTCATTCCTGTCTTCTACCTGTGTGCTACATATTTAGCACTAGTCAGTTGCCAAAAGACATTTTCCTTTCAACTACTTGTTTGCTATAATTAGCAAAGGAAGAAGACTTAACTATTTCTGTTTTTGAGTCAAGCAAATGCTGTAAACTTGTTTTACTTAATTGTTTGGGTTTTGGGGGCATGTAAGGTTGTCATACTCATTACATAGGTTGATACTTGATTGCAGGTCGAGGCAGCACTTATCTCAAGCAACTATGTTGATAATGTAATGGTCTATGTAGACCCCTTTCACAACTATTGTGTAGCTCTAGTTGTGCCCTCTCATCAGGTCATTGAGAAGTGGGCCCAAGAAGCTGGCATAGTGTACAAAGATTTTGCTGAATTGTGCAACAAAGATGAAGCTGTCAGTGAGATCCAACAATCCCTTTCCAAGGTTTGTTCATTGCTGCACTTTAAGTTTATTCTAATACTGCCCAGCATTTGAAAAGTCTTACAATTACTGCGTGCCAATTTTAAACATTCATAGTTGGCGGTAATTCAGGTCATTAGAAAAGCTGTTTATCTCTGCCAGTCCCTGTATTTTCTTTGTCGGCAAATAAAAACTTTGTACTTATAAAAAAAAAAAAAAATTGTATTGATATGATGTAAATGATGTACGAAGGAACCCAGTGAAGCTTACAAAGGAAACTATCATGCTAATCCTTAAGTAGTATGATTTCATAATGCTATTGCTAATGGATTTGCCATAAAATATTGTGCATGGTACATATGCTAACAAGTGCTAACTTGCAGAGTTCTTATCAGTTGAGCACTAAAAAGCGAGTTAGTTCATATGGACAAAAACAAAAGATTCATAACAACTACAAATCCGTAGGCTACCTGTATTTAGAGTGCCAAAAAATATCGACTTTTTTTGAAACACGATTGTGTTTTTCTTCTAGATTTAGGAGATCTTGGCTCCCCGTCAATACAAACCCCGCACCTGCATCCCAAACGAAAAACAAATAAATAAATAACACATGTGGTTTTAGGAGTTGACTGTAGGACATGTAGACAGGTCTTGCACTCTTGCTTCAGATTTGGCATTACTAGTAGAACTATTCACCAATTTAACTAGTAGTTTAATCCTTGCTTCATCCATTTGCATTGAATCTATTTCCTGTGAAGAAATATAATTCTTCTAGGATTTACGACTCCTCTCTGTTGCAAAACCAACTCCACTCTCATTAACTCACATCCTTCTAAACTTGTGCATCTATGTCTATTTAGCATTAACAGGTGAATCATTTTGATGTATGCTGAAAGAAAGTAGAGAAACAAGAGCTCTATTTGTTGGTCTGGGCCAAGATACAAGTTATATGAGATTGGTAGCTTACTCAATGAATGAAATGAACTATTAGTAAAAATGAAACTCATTTTTTGCATTTGATTGTTTAGTTACGGCGTCATTTGCAATACTTGGCCATTGAGATATTTGGTGATTTGGGTTGAGGACAATTCGTTTTTGCACTTAACCATGTGCAGGTTGCAAAGGCTGCAAGGTTGGACAAATTTGAAATTCCTGCAAAGATCAAGTTGATACCGGATCCCTGGACTCCCGAATCCGGATTGGTCACTGCAGCTCTCAAACTAAAGCGGGAACAGTTGAAAGCCAAGTTTAAAGATGAGCTCCAGAAGCTATACCAGTGAAGTGTCATACTAGTCCCATGTTTGCCTCTTCTCTGCTCTATGAATCGCTGGTGACACATTATGGTTATTCTGTATGGTTATCCTCCAAATGGATTTTTCTTACTGATTACCACTGATTTTCCTAATTAATGGTTGTTTTAAGATGGTTTGCTATCGTACGTTTTGTTGTCCATTTGGCCTGAAGAAAAACTAATTATATTTAATGAAATTAATGCCTTTTTTTCTGTTCATATTGGGTCCGTGAAAAATAGAGGTAACACATATGAGAGAGAATTTAAGAAAAAAATCTACTTAGGTTGTTTGAACATTTGTACACACTTTATTATAGCAAGGATATAATTGTGTACACCAAATCATTTGTAGCCGTTGGATCAATGACAAGGCTCATTGATGCGACGGTTGTAGATGTTTTGGTGCACACTTTTGGTGTGCATAGCATTGCTCTTATAGCAAAATGGCGATGTGATAATTATTGATGGTAATAAAAAGAATAGAGATAAATTAAAATTATTTTAGATTAACATAGTTAAAAAAATATAATAATTTAAGGGTTATCTAAGTGTACACTTCTTAATACAGAACAATGGTGAAATAGAATTTATGTAGCCTACCTTAAAATGTGAGAACACTTTGTTGAGTTTAGTTCTTAGATTCCAGGATCGTAGATACCTCTAGTCTAACGAATGGGGTAGCGCGATCCAAAAAAGGGAAGTAGGTTTGTGATGTAGAACGCTTATACCTCTAGTCTCACGAATGGGATAGCACGACCCAAAAAAGAGAAATAAGTTTGTGATGTAGAACGCTTAAACTCTGGATCTTAAATTGTAACTCAAATCTCAAAATAAATATTAATTCACTATTTGTATTTGATTATATACAATTTCACATAATAGATAAGACGATTTTATAGAAAACAAATCACAATTCAACAATGTACCAACTAAGATTAACTCCAATTGTGTCGAGTATTAGAAAATGTATAGTACTGCACACTCACACTGGTACCACACGTATCAATTTGACCCACAATTCATGTAATATTGATGTAATTGTTGCCTTTTTCCACATCAGTTGGCATGCAGCCGCAAGTTGGCCTAAAAGGAAATTAGTGGTAATAAGATCTGGAAATAAGAAAAAGAGGAAACATTGGCAAATTTTGTTTAAAATAACAACCATCAGTTCTACTAGGAGACAAGTTTATGTATATTTTTTTAACTCCATTTATTTTCCTCTTTGGAATCCAAATTTACAGAAGGAAGGAATGAGACTCCTAGCTTTTGCAATTGAATTGCTATTCCTGTGCAGATCTACTTGGATTTGATAAACCACGTCCGAGACCATGAAGAAAAATCCGTCATTTTTCATTTTTCTTCTGAGGCGGTTGGGCTTAGTGCAATGGGTGTTACTGATAGAGATGGTCTGAGGAGAAGATACAAAGCAGGACCCAAGAATGGAAATAGTGATATCGGAAGAAGCCAAGACCCTTTATCATACCTGGAAAAAAAAACAAGTATTTGAACCGTGTTCTTCATAAATTCTCAAGGCAAGGACCTAAATCTAGAAAAGAAGCATAAAAGTGTCGTTGATAGCTCACCATTTTCGAGCTGTCATGTCATTGTAAACCCAGAAAGGAGCAAATGCTGAAAGTAGAGTAAAATCGATGCAGGTAAGATGTATCTGCGTTGTACAAGATGGCTCAGTGTCTCGGTCAAACTTGTGGCAATTTTTTATGATAAGCAACAAAATTTTATTAGTAAACACAAGAGTTACAAAGATTGTGGACAAATGATCCAACCAACTACACACTGAGTGTATCAAAAAGGAACCGGTCAACATTAACTGCTACTAATCACAACCGCATTCCAATCATGCTGGATAAAAAATGAAGGATAGTTTCAATATTCTCCAGTAATCAAAAATCAAATTATCAAACGTGTAGCAATTTTATCTAGATATCATATAATAAATTACCCATAATGACGAACATAACACCTGGGATCATATCACTAACCTCAACATTGCAGAGCCTCATAATCCAAGCAAACAAGTAAGGGATCAGCTTTATAAATCCCTATCAGTAATTGGCTATTTGCTTTATTGGTTGCAAGCAAGGTTTTCTACTTCCACTTGTTCTTCTCTGTTCTTTTGTCCCTTTCTACCTACTTAATTTTACTAACTAATTTCCATTATTTTGCTTCAAGGACCAGCATGAATTAATCCAATTTAGGGTTTTAGAAAGGTATCATAGACTCGTAATTGTCTCAGGTTCTAAGGCTTTGAATATTACCCTGCTAAGTTGCACCATCAAACACATTTCATAGAAGACTCTGATTGCCTACTACCGTGAAACTCTTTTCTTTTATTTATCACTAGTTCTTCTACGTCTTCCCCTACCTCTTCCCTTTCTAGCAATCAAACACACGTTAGCTTCTACAAGAATAGAACCGTGATTTAAACCGTGAAACAGTTGTCAAAACCAAAGGTCTATCCTAGAACTATAGCCTACTAATTACCAATCACTTTTAACCCAGATTACAAGAGAACCTAACGTGCTGAAAATTTGAAGGTCCTGCGCCATCACCACCTACATCTGAAAATAAAGTTACCCAAGGACACTAGTATACCTGTGGCCAACTCAAGAACAGGGTTTTATTTACCATTCGAATATCAGCCGCAGCCCCAATTAGAGCTGGCAATCTTTAGAAGTGCTAAATTGTATCTTCTACATATCAGATATAGACAGTTAAGTTCAAAAACGAACCATCTACATTTAACACCTTCTATAAGGTTAGTCATCTAGCTACTCAACATGAGTAAGGGTTGATTTTCCTATTCAGTATCATGGCTATATGGTTTGTAAATGTACCTCCATCATAGCTTGGCACACACTGACTGAAAATTTCTGCCACAAACACACACATACAGACACACACACACACACACGTACAACATATTTTAATGATGGGACACTCACAAATTTGCTCTCTCGGAAGAGTTGGTAAAATTCCTCCCAGACATCCCCATCAGCTAAGCCTGCATATATGATTAGACCCAGTCCTGCAGCAATGGATATCTGATGTGTAGTTAATTCAGTAGCACCTTCTTCACAAATACGGTAACCAATTAGATAGTCATTACCCAATGATATAGATAGGAGAATAGCACTTCATTGAGAAGTGATGATATAGAAAGTGCAATTGATATCATATATAGGATGACTAGTCATTGTCCATGCCTGAGGATACTATGTAATAAACAAAAAATCACAAACAAATTCCTCTACATGAAAGCTTTGTATAACATAAAATCATCGGTGACAATAAATGAAAAAGGCATAGACGACTTAACGATAAACCAAGTCCACACAAGATACCGACTATATATTTCATTTTTTACATAATATGGAACAATGCATTACTCAATAAAAAAGAAAAAATGAAAAAGATACACATAATTTCCATCTTTAATAAAATATTTTCTAGAAATGATGTAACTTTCTCATTCCTGAAGGCACTATATAACCCAAAAAAAAAAAATCAACAATTGCAAGATATAGGCATTAGCAACATTCATTTTGAAAACCTAAAGATATTGCAACCCAAGGAAGTCATGCAATGAGCAATAGAAAAAACAATTTTTTTTTTTCAGGATAGTAGCAACAAAAAAAAATACCCACAACAAAAATAGTATATTATATATAATTTTTAATTAAAAGAGAATGCATGTGAATAACCAATCCCCATTAGAGTAGATTAATCAATCACAATTTTTCATGCATGATAAATATCAGCCACTAAGGAATAAAACAATTGGTGAACTTTGATATGTAATCTTATTTTTATCTTAATAATAATTGCAGAATAAAAACAGCAATGGGAAGGTAATTTCAACAAAAAGATTCTGCAGTAACCTTCACAGGTCCTAAACCTTTTTCGAAGAGACAGTTAGTCTTGTTAAAGTTCATTCTCACTTAAATTGTTTCTAAACAATACCAGAAGCATGAGAAAGTTAAATGCGGCCTCTAATAAAACACCGATGTATATTCCAATTGTTTGGGTTCAAGTACCCAAATCTTGATGTAATTATTGATGTAATCTCTACTATTTTGTTGTAGAGATAGTCATATTAATAAAAGTGTTTCTGTACGGAGTGTGTTTTTTGACTGATTCCTTGTGAAGATGAGATAAATCCCTTCCACCCCTTTTTCTTTCTTCTCCTCTTTCTATTCTCTGATTTCTTTTCCTCCGCTGTCCTGCATCACCTTCCCTTTTTGACACAATGGATAATCCTTCACACACATATTCAAGGTTTACACAATGAAAATGCATACCACAGCAGTTAATTTTGATTCCAAAATGTTTAGAGGCCATCTTCTGAGCTCAAGCTCTTCAACTGGTGGAGGTGGTGGTCTCCAAAGAACAAAATAGGGGAGAAGAGCATATGCACCGCCGAAGCATGAAAGTATGAGGAATGGCCAAACGGGGATCTTGCTTTTTGAGCTGCATAGTTGAGTACTTGTTAAATCAGACCATTTCAACTCTTTAGTACTACCCTGGAAGAAACAAATTTGTGGCAAAACAGGGCATTTGTGACAAATCTATATGCCGCAGCTCAGATGCTTGGCAGCTAGCAAGTGTCATACATAAACACATACATGTTCATGCGTGTGTATCAACATAAGTATGTGTGGTGAAAGGTACCTTCTAGCAGTTGGAAGCAGCAACATACTGTAAATTAACGGCCACAAGCCCATGATGTACCAGAGAGCCACCAGCACTTCATTCATTTGGAAGCCATCTTCTCCTTTCAAATTAAGGAGCTTTTTCAAGAAATACACATCCGTTACCTGAAAATGTTCAAGAGTCATTAAGCTCAGGTGAGAACCCTAACCTGCGCTTATGGAATCACAATGACGAGACAACAACAACAGTAATAATAACAAAAACAATAATTGAAACTAGCCCAAAATCAATCAGTTCACAGGTACATTGCTAATAAGGAATTGCAGTATCATGCATGTCATCAAAAATTTCCTCTGAATTTCTATGCTATTGTGAATTAGCCCTTTAATGAACCAAAAGTTTCTAGAACATAATGCAATAGAACGGTAGAATAACAACTAGAATCAGTTTTCTCATGATCTTTTTCCTATTTCTCGATCATGGTTTAAACAGCTAATTAACCAAGAAAAACAAACCACATAATAAACAGATCAGACAGCATTACCCTGCAAATAAGCTAATAATAATTTCACCAAACATAAGCCATCATTGACCAAAAGTTATTTCCTCTGGTTTAGCATTATCAATGTTCATAACTTTTCAAGCAATAGCAACAAAAATCACACACAAACAGCATTAATTCTTTAAGTGAAACAATAAATCCCTCGAATTTAAAGAACAGATGAACAAGTACAACAACATTATAAGTGATTGATTACCATATATTACCGGGGTCTGATTGGGTGCCAGAATAAAAACATAGTACATAAGACCAACCCAGAACCCAAAAAGCAAGAAGGACGTCGTCCAGTCCCTTTCCTCACCGCCACCACCGCCTCCATCACCACCACCACTGCGTCTTCCGTTGCCACCAAGTTTATCTTCCAATGAAACTGGGTCTGGTGGATTTTGAGTCTGAACAGAACTGCAAATTTGGAGGTAACCCTTTTTCTGAAATGGTAAGATTATGGTATTCTCATTGCGGGGTTTAAGAAAAGGTGAAGAAATTATGGTTTTGAGAGATGGGTTTTTAGGGTTTTGAGCTGAAAATCTAAATTTGGGACATTGAAGTGGCAGGTACGTGAAGTTGCAGGAGATGAACATGGTGCTGGCTAACATATTATTGGAGCAGAAACTATGACGATTAGCGGTAGATACAGTTTTTCTGTATGTATGTATATGCTTCAAGTTGTGGATGGTGTATGGTTCACTGGTACTGAGGAGTCACTCTGAATTTTTAAGGGAGAGCTTAGAGCCAAAGGTTGCGAGACGTGGCTCTATGGGAATCTGTACAATAACATTTAGTTTTGTTTTGTATTAAAGAGTATTTTATTTATATTTTATTTACATTTGAATGACTTCGACAATTAGGGATCATCTCCTATAAATAATGAAAGCAATGTTATTGAAAAGGGATCATTGATGAACAAAACAACTCTACATAAAGTCAGCCTTTCTTTTATTTTGTTTATTTATTAGCTGATGGGGTCTCATACATAATAGTTCAAGTCCAATTAATGAACTGTTACTTGGATTAGTGAATTTGATCAGATATGAGGTTGACTTGCGAATAATAGAATACTCAAAGTATAAGTAGTTCACCTAAGCCAAATGACCGAGGTTATATCCACTGTAATGGAGTCGCTTACTCTTTAAAGTCGTATATTAAGATCAGGTGAGTATATTGAGATTACTGGCATTGAGCCTTTACAAGGACTTATCCTTAGTTCGTTGTATATCTAGGGCTGAGAAATACAGTGGGGAAGAATCCCTTTTTAGGTAGGTTGGCATTATTCTATTTATATCAGTCCTTCCTTCTATGATTTTCGGTGGCTCTTTCTACCTTTCTGTTAATTCTATGGGATCCCCCGTCACTGTCCTGCAACAGTCCTATGTCGTTCGGCACTGCTATGCCCACGATCTCTAGATCGTTATGTGCACCATCACTCTCTGTGTCTGAGAGGGTGTTGCTGTCATAGGAGTCAGAGATGGTCTCCTTTTCCTTTGGACACATGGCATGGCGGGGTGCCCTAGGGCTTGGCTTGGCTTCTCAATACTGGGTTATCCTTTAGCTAGTCGTTGAGTTGGGCCCGGGCTGCACTGCTGGTCTTTTGGTGTTGTTGGGCTTTTTCCTTTCGGCTCTCTACCCCCCCCCCCCCCCCCGACATGGGCTGATTGGGGGTTCTCCCTTTGGATTAGTAAACAGGTGAGGGCCTTTTGGGCTTATTGGACGTTGGGGTTATGACAGCCCATACCTAAAATTCCAACCTTATCAGTTGCCCCCCAGCCCCTGGTCACAAGGTTGACGTCATCTCTGACCAGGGGTTAGAATCATCTTTTCTGATTTTGGCATTTATTTCTCTATGTGGCGAACATACTTGGTTATCGGCTCTGCTCTGATCTGGGTTGTGCTAATGTCCACTGGCCGTGATGGGATGATTTTTGTCCACGTGTCACTAGTGAATGAGCCAAATGGTACAGTTTCCTTCACGTGTCCTATCACCTATCTGTCATAGCTTAAACGTTGTGTATAAAAGGGAAAAACTCTTTGTCTTTCCCACTTTGTGTTTTTGGAAAACTCCTCCTTGCATCTCTTTCTCTCCCTTTTTGGCTTTCAAGGCGTCTCGTTCCAGGATTTTTGGCGACTTAGGACCCCTGCGTTTATGGCTTCTTTATGCTTCTAGCGTCCTATTAGGTACATCACTCTTCCCTTCTTCTTCTTGTTCGATCTGGATCTTTTCAACCCTCCCTGGTGGGGTTTCAAATTTCTCTTTTTGATCTGGAGGTTTGGTTACTTCTTTTCTTTTGCACTTTGTAGATTACTCTACCTTGTTAAAGGTGTCCTTTCTTGGGGGTTAGTGTTTGAAACCTTTATTCTTGACAGATTACGCTTTACATTTGCCTTCCCTGCACTCTAGTTTGCGAGTTGACCCTTTGATGGGGAAATTTGTTGTTTCTTCCTCTAAGTCTAATTTCAAGGAGTAGGTCAGCGAGGAGGTCAAGGAAAGTACCTCAAATTCCTCCAGCGATCGCTCTTTTACTACCGGTGAGGCGGTCTTTGGGTCTACCCCTGAGTTTTTGCTTCAGTTCCTTTAGTTGAGGCTCAACCTCTCTCATCTATTTCTCCCATTTCTTCTACCCAGTCGAGGAAAAGGAGGTCTGAGCCATCCTGCCCTCCATTCCTAGGAATAAAACTCATCATGACCAATCTGACCTGACTTGTTGTGCCGAGGGGACTTCTAGTTGCCTTGGTGATGATGACTTAGAGGAGCTGAGGCGGAAGTATTATTTTCTGGACTTCGTAGAATTGCACTCTCCCGAGGAACACGAGAGGTGCAACTCCTCTCTCCCTGGGCTGACCTGCTTCTTTGGTCCGCATTCCGGGCTGACCTTTAATTCCCTATCCACCCTTTTATCCAGAATGTTCTTGGTTTCTACAATGTTTGTCTAGCCCGACTTTCTCCCAACTGTTGGAGACTTCTAGTCAGTTTCTTTATTCATTGGTTTAAGAGTGGGAATGACTCTCCTCCCTCCAATCGAGAATTCACTTTCCTTTTTCAGCTGAAGTCTTCTCCTTCCTTGGGCGTCTTGTCTTTTATCAAGAGGGTAAAGGTGAAAACTCTGATTTTTGAGTTTTCTTCTTCTAACAAAGGGTGGAAGCTGAGGTTATTTTTCGTCAGAGGTGACTCCTAGAAATTGACAGGGGAGTCTGGCGATGTTCCTTGTGTTCCCAGGTCTTGGGGGGTTCCAAGGAATACCCGTAAGGCTAATCTACTGGCCATGTTTTCCTTTTCTGTTCTCACCCCCTGTCTTACTTAACTTTTGAATTGGTTTGTAGATTTCTGTCTAACACTTAACACAGAGGAGTCTACTAGAGTTGCTAAGGCCGAGGCTCTAGGGTTGTAATCTTTCTTTGACCTAGTGACCGATCAGAACCTTGTTGTGTACAAGCTTGGGCCTCCCGTCAATCAAGCCCAGGAGATTGCAACATCGTCTGCCCCCAAGTCTAAACCCATGGATCAAGACCTAATCATGGCGTTATTTTTGGATACTAAGAAGTCGAGGAAGAGGAGGAAGCTGGTGAAGGGCTTGCCGTCATTGTCCGTGGAGGCCTCGGTATCTGAGCCAACACCTGTCTCTACGGAGTAGAAAAATGAAGGCCTTTCCTCGCTTAGAGGCGTGGTTGCGCCCTCGTCGCCCATTGGGACACCTGAGAGCAAATCTCCTCTTGAAGGAGCTTCAAGGGGACAAATCGGGGTCTCGGTAGCCTCTCATGCTCATTTAGTCGGCCTCTCAAAAAGGCGGGGAAGTGGGTTCTGTTCCTTCCAAGTCCAAGATACAGGATAACGGTTTTCTTCACGATCTTGAGGCCGCTGTGACCGCCTTGTCTGAGCTGATCTCCACGTCAGACCCTAGAGCAGCCACACAGGATCCCTTCAAAAGGAAAATTCAGCATACTATGCAGGGCCTAACCAAGGTACTTCTTATTTTTACTTATGTCCTCCCCTCTGTAATGTTATCCTCGAAGCTCTTTTGGTTATTTTCTGTGCTAATCGACCCCTTCCTTTTCCCAATTGCTCGCCTGTGTGAAGATGATAGACTTTCATTACTAGTAGTGATGGTGGGTGAAGAGGCCGCTGAGGAGAAGGTGAGGATTATGTTGATAGAGACCGCTGAGCTGAAGAGGGTTCATGATGAGCTCGACGCTCGTCAACAGGATCTTATTAAGCTCAGGGACTCTCAGCTTAAGGATAAAGATGCTACAATGGAGACAAAAGACACCAAGTTGGCATCCTTGAAGGTCAAAGTGTCTGATCTTGTGAAAGAAAGCGTTTTTGCATTTGTGAAGGGGTTCCTGAACTGTCGGGAGCAGGATGAGAATGCTTATCCTAACCTTGACCTAGATTCCTTCGCCCCACAACTCGGGTTTAAGAAGACGGTCGAGGTTCCCAAAGAGGTTGAGACTTTTGGTGCCAGGAAGGCGTCGGTACCCGAGGCAATTGTGATCGTGGAGCTTAGTGCCCAGACAAAACCATTTGGTGAAGGAGTTGGTGGTGGCAAAGAAATTGTTCCTTAAGGCTGGCTGGCGGCCATTTCTTTTTCACTTTCTTGTAATTTGTTGATGACCTTTGTAGTACTTTCTCTTCTTCTAAGTGACGATGTAACTTTTAGATGATGTACTTGCATAGTTTTCCTAACAAGGACATTGTTACTAGTTTCTTATTTCTTATGATGTGTTCCTCTTTAGCTCTGATGGGTGGAAATATTTAGTTTTGTACCATGGCGTTGCAGGATTCGTTGCTAGTTTTGAGGCCTCAAATTATGATCCCCGAGTCATCTTCGGGTAACTATAATAAGTGTGAGAATCAGGCTGTCTGAGCCAACCCCCCTCATGTAGCTAATCTGACCCCACTTCCTTTCCGAGGTGGATTAGCTTGAAACATGCGAAGTGACTCCGACAACCCATTTTCTTGAGCCTGCCCCTTCTTGAGCACCTTTGTTTTAACTCTGGGGCTATTTTGGTCTTTTTTATTTCTTTTTGTGTTCTCCGGATATGATAGTTTTGATCTATTGAGAACGTGTGCCATCAGCGGGGTTAGTGGTTCCTCGAACGTGGTGCCCCCAAAACCCCTATGGCGCCACGAGTCTCCTTGTAAATGTGAGGGACGTGCATTAACTCTGTTCGACAAAAGTGAGGGCGCGTGTCTATTGGGCCTACAAATATGCAGGCCAAAAGAATGATTGTCTTAGTCTGGGCGCCAAAAAGGAATTTTTGCCTCTTTTTCTTAGCGTAACATTTCTCCTTCTTCGTTGTTCAAGAGAAACTATTTGCCTTTTGTTCTTATGGCCAGGGCCCCTTCTTCTCCACGCGTCGTCATGGAAAGACTTTTTCCCAATGTCGAAGTTAGTGAAATCAATGAGGAAGAGGCTCAGTCTATCGCCAGGCCCTTCGAGTTTCCTCCTGGAATGGTCATGCACCATGCCAATTTGCGTCGGTTTCACTGTTTGGTCAGGGGTGAGGCTTGCTTCTTTGAGGCCCTTTTTTGTTAGGGCTCCAGTTTCCAATTCCCTCTTTTATGCGAGAGGTTTTGCACTTCTTCAATTTCTGTCCCGCCATGTTTCTCCCAGCGGCTTAGGCGGTCTTGTTGGCTTTCGCAGCAATGTGGGGATGGTTATTCCCCTGGTCTAGGGCTATTGCGCCAAAATTCCTTCATTTTTTTCATCCCGAGGAGTTGTCTGAGTTTTATCACTTTATCCCCCAAGCGG